AAATGAAGCCCCAGATTGTGGGGGCAATATGCTGACTCTGTAAACCGTTTAGAGAGGGCTGAAAGCCCTATGAAGCGGTATATAAGTCATTTTACCCACCTCGGAAGGATGGAAGGCTGAGTCAACCCTGAGCCGGTGAGATTTGAACAGCCGAACTGCTGAACTGCAGTCAGCTGAAGTAGCCTGCAGTGCTGCACTCTAACCACTGCGCCACCTCGGCTCTACGTCATCACATGACGTATCGCAACTTCGCTAAACCAGGCGTGGGGGTGGCCAGCATGTGACGTATCCGGACCAAAGGCCATGCGTTTGACAGCCGTGTTCTATAGCTTTATCAGATGTACAGACTGACAGAATCATGCAATATTTTACATTGTATCCCCACTGCTGGTCTACAGAAAAAAGCGGTGTGATTTCTGATCCCGTCAAGAGAACTCATTGAAAGTCCTGACTCTCTTCTAGGCAATGGTTCAATTACCCTACGTGTAGTAGTCATTCCTAGAAAAAAGTACTTTCGGGGGAGTTTTTCAACAACCACCAACAATATCCACACGCCAGGAATTCTCAGTATTTCATAACTACAAACATGGGATAAAATAATCAAGAAGCTTTCAATCTGTGCTGTTGGATTCACAGCTGTGGGTCTGCATGAGCCAGATAAATCATAACTTAATGCTATAAACATAGCTTCCATTTAATGATAAGGTCATTGGCCAGATGTTTAAAATATGTTAGTCTAATACCTACCCTCTCTAGTCACCACACTCATCTGGAGTCCCAAATTATGCTGGGGCTTTATCACCCACATGTTGCTAGTAGCAGTGATGTCAAATTCTAGCCATCCTTCTTCTGAGGCCCATACTATTCGTGTGTCCAGCATAAACAAGTTTGAATTTCTGAAGGAAGAAAACAAAGGGGGGGGGGAAATAGTTTAGGAGTACAAAAAGGATTGCATTAAATACTGAAATCATTAAAGTAATGGGGAAAAAATAATTCCGTTGTGTATCACTTTTATTTTATCCAGCTCTTTAGTCCTACTTTTATAAGAATGGAATCATTATCATATCTAGATTGAAAAGATTCAGAAGAAGAATAATGTAGATCAGGGGTGTCAAACTCACGTCATCACGGCGGCATCACGAGACATACCGGGACTTCC